TGTTCATGGATTGGAAGAATCAATATTGTCAAAATGGCTATACTACCCAAAGCAATCTATAGATTCAATGCAATCCCTATCAAACTACCAACGGTATTTTTCACAGAACTAGAACAAATAATTTCACAATTTGTATGGAAATACAAAAAACCTCGAATAGCCAAAGCAATCCTGAGAAAGAAGAATGGAACTGGAGGAATCAACCTGCCTGACTTCAGACTCTACTACAAAGCCACAGTCATCAAGACAGTATGGTACTGCCCTTCACTTCTAAATGATAGCCACTGCCCTTGTTCCTTAGCTCCCTCCCCAGCCACCCACGTCTTCAGAGTTCTAGCCCGCTGTGGACCCCTTCTTCAACCTGAAGTGATCCTAAGCTCCTTGAGGATGTCGTTGTCTCCTCACAATTACTCTTTCCTTTCCAGCCTCTGGGGTGCGTGTGTGTATGGAAACTGCCATACATCCCACACACACCCTAAAATTCTTACTATGGAAGCAAATGAGCTTTTGCTACACCTGTGCAGGTCAGTTGACTTTTCTGGAATATATATATATAAAGAGCGAGAGATTCACACACATCCATACATGTAACACATGCACACACACATATATATTTACTCATTCTAGTAGGACATGGTAAAGGGTTTTCAGAATAATTCAAGAAACATTTACAGTCTGACCTTTTTGTTTTCATTCTAAATAAAAATTGCATTACAAAAATTGAGGAGGAAAAATAATATTTTGACAACTTCACTACTTTTACCAATGAAAAACTGCATTTGGAAGCTAAGGTAACTATGGCAGATTATATTTTCCAAAGATAGGTGCAATAATGTCTCCATCCCAACAGATCTTGTAACCACTAAGGTAATTTTGCCAGATTATATTTTCCAAAGATGGTTGCAGTAATGTCTCCATCCCAACAGACCTTCTAATCATTAAGAAGTCTATGCACCTCACCTGAATCCTGTGGCTATAGTGAAAATGATACTGTGCAATAATACCTGATGTGACATCCGAGGCAGCTTCCTACTTGTTGGCCGGAACACTTGCTCTGGCACCCTAAACTGTCAGGTAAGCGCCGCCTGCCTGGGGGCAACTAGAAGAGCTTGAAATTTAGCCTGTACAGAGAGGCCTTAAGACGACATGAAGACAAGAGGTGTCTGACCAGTACCCAGCCATTCCAGCTGTAGCTGCTAATGCAGTAAGGGAGCCAGAATAGTCAGCTGAGCTTTTCTCAAATCCCAGAAACATGGATAATAAAATATTATTTTATGCCTCTAAATTTTGCAGTCATTTGTTATGCAACAATAGGTAAGTAAGAAGAGCACCATCTGGGCACACATGGAAGGCAGCAACATTCCTCCTCCCTGAAATTACATCCTGGAATGGACTGCTCTGCAAGCACTGCCCATCACCTGCACCACAGGGAGTAGATTGTACACGGTGGCAGTGAGAATGCATTTCCCCTCCTCCCATGGGACAGCAAGCTAAAGGGCTCAGGGAAGTAAGTGAGGCTGATCAAGCATCCATCTGAGACTGAGAAGTTTCCCAAAGACTGAGGGGTTTTTTCTTGAAGCAACATTTTCAGTGCTAACACAACAAAAGTCATAGGCACACTGAGATAGTTGGTCACCCTCGGAGAGAAGGCCCTGAAATCTGGCCTGGATGGGTCGAAAAGCTATGCCATTTTGATTTTTATACATAGCAATTGTGAATCAAGTTTACCTTGATTCAAGGTAAATTGAATCAAGGTTAACTGGAAATGGTCAAACAGGAGATGGCAAGAGTGAACATCAATATTTCAGGAAGCAGTGAACTAAAATGGACTGGAATGGGCAGATTTAATTCAGATGACCATTATACCTACTTCTGTGGGCAGGAATCCCTTAGAAGAAATGGAATAGCCCTCATAATCAACGAAAATGTCCGAAATGCAGTACTTGGGTGCAATCTCAAAACTGATAGAATGATCTGATATCTGTTCGTTTCCAAGGCAATCCATTCAATATCACAGTAATCCAAGTGCCCCAACCACTAATGCTGAAGAAGCTGAAGTTGAATGGTACTATGCAAGACCTTCTACAACTAACACCAAAAAAAGATGTCCTTTTCATCATAGGGGACTGGAAGGCAAAAGTACAGAGTCAAGGAGTAACAGGCAAGTTTGGCCTTGGAGTACAAAATGAAGCAGGGCCAAGGCTAACAGAGTTTTGCCAAGAGAACACATTGGTCATAAACACTCTCTTCCAACAACACAAGAGACAACTCTACACATGGACATCACCAGATAGTCAATACTGAAATCAGATTGATGATATTCTTTGTAGCGGAAGACGGAGAAGCTCTATACAGTCAGTAAAAACAAGACCTAGAACTGACTGTGGCTCAAATTATGAACTCCTTATTGCAAAATTCAGACGTCAAATGAAGAAAGTAGGGAAAATCAGACCATTCAGGTATGACCTAAATCAAATCCCTAATGATTATACAGTGGAAGTGACAAACAGATTCAACGGATTAGATCTGATAGACAGAGTGCCTGAAGGGCTATGGTTAGAGGTTCGTGACATTGTACAGGAGGCAGTGATTAAGACCATCCCCAACAAAAAGAAATGCAAAAAGGCAAAATGGTTGCCTGAGGAGGCGTTACAAATAGCTGAGAAAAGAAGAGAAGTGAAAGGAAAAGGAGAAAAGGAAAGATACACCCATCTAAATGTAGAGTTCCAACGAAAAGCAAGGAGAGAAAAGAAAGCCTTCCTCAGTGATCAATGCAAAGAAACAGAGGAAAACAATAGAATGGGGAAGATTAGAGATCGCTTCAAGAAAATTAGAGATGCCACAGGAACATTTCATGCAAAGAAGGGCACAATAAAGGACAGAAACGGTATGGACCTAACAGAAGCAGAAGATATTAAGAAGAGGGAGCAAGAATACACAGAAGGACTATACAAAAAAGATCTTCATGACCCAGATAACCATGATGGTGTGATCACTCACCTACAGCCAGACATCCTGGAATGCAAAGTCAAGGGGGCATTAGCAAGCAGCACTATGAACAAAGCTAGTGGAGGTGATGGAATTCCACTTGAGCTATTTCAAATCCTAAAAGAGGATGCTGTGAAAGTGCTGCACCCAACATGCCAGCAAATTTGGAAAACTCAGCAGTGGCCACTGGACTGGAAAA